TTTTACGAAAATCTGTATTTCGTATTTTAAATTTTTGATCATTTAAAATTTCGACACACGTGTACAGCAATCATATAATTACACGTAACATAGGAGCAATACTTTGTAAATAAATTGTAAAGAAATTAATAATAAAATGACGATTACCTCTAATGTAAGATCGAAACATTTGGAAATTGCAAATGTTAGACTACGAATATTTGTAGTAAAAACATGGATATGTGTTATTATTTAGTTTTTACAATTAATCGAATATATGAATCATTGTATATTATTAACTCGAACACCCACAATTTTATAGGTATTAATATTTTACAGCTTATATAAGATAAACAAATTTTTAAATAATTGGAATAATATGTTCTACATAACATATAACAGTAGCAAATTTACGTTCTAAGCAGTACAAATTTCGGGTCTCGTAAAACAAAGATTGCCATGTGATAAATCATTTAATGAACAGTCTTAAATAAAATAATTTGTAAAATTTATCGATAACGTTTATCAAAAATGACATTATATCAGCTATATAAAAATGCATTATATTATTGTAGGAATGGTATATCTTTTATCTATTCCTAGATATGTCTGTAAAGCGCGAGGGAATGCTTGGGCCCTTCTGCGTAAATAAAGGGCAATAAACAGACGTCGTCTCTGATTTGACTCGAGCGTTCGGGGTATTATCTGGAGTGCGTGCGAAAGGATGAGTGACCGTACGCAAGGATCGTGCGATCGGGGTGTTTATGAATGTATCGGTTACAAGCGAAGAGTGTCTCCAGGAATGCATCCGAGTGTTTAGGGTACGTGACCCACTGAGTGCGAGGCAACGAAGAGTGCGTGGGAAAGCGTGATTGGGAAAGAGAGCATGGGCATGAAAGAGGATAGAGTATATGGTTTAAATAGGGATGCAAGGGCGTGAAGCGTGCAGTATGTTGGAGTATGTACGTCGAGCAGTTCTTCATATAGTTCTTCGAGTAGTTCTTCGAGAGATAGTGAGTGTAATAGTCGTAAGCTTAGAATAAGTTGGTTCACGATAAATTAGTTTTATTCTCTACCACCGTCCTTTTGCTGCCTAATAAATAAATTCCTACATTATTTATATTCAAATCTGGTGATAATACCAGTGTCACTAATTATAGACCAATTTCTTTGCAATGCACTATGGCAAAAGTATTCGATAGTATTATGGTTAAAATTCTTGATCGGCACGTTTTTAACATCTACAGTAAATCTCAGAATGATTTTCTACCAGGGCGGTCTACTTATACCTACCTTGCCCTTTACCATAGAGATATCTCCGTAGCTCTAGATCAGGGCTTACAAACGGATTCTATATACCTCGACTGCGATAAAGCTTTCGATAAAGTTAATCATTTTATTTTAATCGATAAATTGACGGCTCTCGGCATCAAGGGTACCATATTTCAATGGTTTTTCTCCTTCCTCGATGGTCCTAATCAAATTGTAAGAGTAAGATGTAGTCTTTTGAGATATATAACCGTTACTTCCGGTGCTTCTCAAGGGTCTTATCTTGGACCCCTCCTTTTCCTACTTTTTATAAACGACTTAGCTTCAGTTATACGTACTTCCTCTTGCTCCTTATTTACAGATGATATTAAGTTATATCGTTTAATACGTACTCTCTCCGACTGTTCCGAGTTGCAAGTCGACATTGGCAGAATTATGGAACGGTGCTCCATCAACTATATGGATCTAAATTTAAATAAGTGTCAAGTGATCAGTTTTACTAGGAAGAAATTTCCTTTCAATTTCCAGTATTCTATCAGACCGCTGTTGATGTAATTTTGCGTTGTAATTCAATTGCTATTAGTACCCTGTGATAATTACGTATTGTATCCTATGAATCGTAAAATATAAAAATATACTTCATACCTTCATTTATATTACTCGTTCTTTAACAATTGGATTCACCGATATTTCCTCCTTGACATTCTAATAACTAATATTTAATCTTTATCTTTCTCCATCATAATACATAACATTCTTTCTTTCTTTCTTTTCTTTCATACTTAAATTTGCACACTGTGCAACAAAATGTTATTTACAAAACTCTTAGATATCTTTTCAGTCCTTAAATCGTCGGCTAATTTTCCGAGGTTAAATTACGGTATTAACCTCCAATTACTAATTTCACGTCGAATTGACTGCATTAACTATTGTTTCTCGCCAGTGGAGAGAGCGTTTGAGAGTGACTGTCGGAGAGCATCGTTCGATTGTCTGAGAGTCGGCGTGTCGCGAGTCGTTCGCAAGTGGACACTATAATCCATTGCTCTCGGAGAGTTACTCGCAGCATTCGAAACGGGATTCAAATCCTGAGAGAACTTTCGGATAAATCACTCGGAGCGATCTTGCATTCTAAGAACACTTGGAACGATCGTTGAAACGTACGACGGATAAAGCAAACAACCATCGGTGCAAAGGACAAGCCTATCAAGTGGGTTATCGAGTTTAGGTTAATATTAGGTGTGAAATTAGGTGTACGTAGTGCGTGTGTGGACGATGAGGAAGAGGCAGATAGTATCAAGTATCGTAAAGAAGAGCAGTCGTCGTGCCGATCGACGCTCATGTCACGGGAAAGGTGGTTTGAGTTAAACAACTCCCGATGACGATAAAGTGTAGAGATGTTTAAGGATTCGTATCTATTGTACCTTAGTATCAATAGATCTTTACCAATAGCGCAATTATCATGTACCGTAGTGACATGTACAACTCGCGAGTAAAGGTTATACGAAACTCCGTATGGTTTGGTGGTATGCTTGAGACTGGTTTATTTTCTAATTTGGTCGGCTTTTATACATGAGTTCTTTGGGGGGTGGTTCGAAGGAGTGGGAAAGGGATATTTACGATTATTGGTGATAAGTGGTTTTCGTATTACTTCTGGTTTTAAGTGTGGCGTGGGAAATGGAGATAGGGTGTTTGCGATTAGGTTTAAAATAGAATAATCGAAATGGGATGTTTAGGAAGAGGGTTGGTTCTATGATACGATGTCTGGCGGCGTGGGAAATCGAAATGCAGCGTGTGTGAAGAGGGTTAAATTTTAAGATAAGAAGGCTATTTTGGGGTATGGCGCCAGATAGCTATGCAGGAGGTTGATAGTTTCGGGTAGGAGAGGTAAAGAATGAGGGCAGAATCGGAGGGGTTTATCACACTCAAGTGGATAAAGTTCTCAGAGCTCTACGCGAGAGTAATCTCTCGGCGAGTTTTCTATCACCTGCTGTGCGTAAAATTTCGCACAGTTGCTCTTAAATGAACACACAACTTAAGAGTACTCTCGGGAGTAACTCGCGCGAGAAACTCTGAAATGGACATGTAGCATTACTCCATTACTCTCCTTTCCACTTTCTCCTCTCTTTATGCTTCCCTTTCCTCTTAGTAAAAAATGTAATGCGAGCGAGAATATACTATTAATCGTAAGTCTATACTTACTCGATTACAGTTTCGTAATGTCGGGTTAACAACCTCGTTTCTTGTTTGATTATTTTTTCTTTCTGAAATGAGCGAATCTGCCAAGCATCGCCATCGTGGAAATCGCTCCAAGTTCCGTGTTCCTGTTGAAGTACCGTTGCATATTTCATTCTAAGGTATTTGTATTGAGCTGTTATTAACAGAATCAAATGCATCGTGTAAATATCCAAACCAGTCTTTTTGGTTATCGTATATACAATGTCAAAAATCTGAAGCATAACGCCGCCAATGAAAACACCGACAGAAAGCGGTTCCTTCGATATAACGAATGGTATTCGATAATCCGTGTAATGGAACTCATTTTTTCGGAACACTTCGACACTTGCAAACGATGTCCACAAAACAGCCGAACTAACACAGGCAACGGTATAAATTTCCAGCGGCCTCTTTATCAGTTTCACCGTACTCATTGTGACATTTCGAAGTACTTGGTCATCTACGATGAGAAGATGGTTCACCTTTCCAATTACTCCACGTAGTAAATTTTGACCACTGTGTAAATAAATTATCAACACAATTACTTCTAACGAGATCACCATATTTACCGTGCTGTCCTTCAATGCCTTATCTCGTGACGCATTGAAAACGCCGAAAATGCTAGCAGTCAAGTTTGTTAGTTGTATTAGCCAAACGAGGCTGGAATAGATCTTTAAAAGAACGGGTAGTTTCGTTTTTTTATTCGTCGTTGATAAGCAATTCCCCGCAATCATATTTATTAAAATGTTAAAACGATTCAAACTTCGAAAATCCATTTCTTCTTATTCTTATTACAAACGGAAGTGGTACGTGTACCATAAAACGATGAATTTATAAAATTTATAAATATAGATAGATTTCTTGCACTGTCAGATATATATATAAATGATAAACGTAGTGTATAATCGAATATAGGTTTAACGAAGGATATTTCCCTTATACGCTATCTCACAAATTATACACAGTCGAAAATCGAATGGAACGAAAACGTGTACATAGATATCTGAATTTACAACTTCGAAGTTACTTGTTATTAAAAGGACGTGTATATCTGTATCGTGTAGATTCGCGAATATTCGATTAATTCGAAATACTCGACGCAACTATGTGTTCGCATTCTTTTTGTCTATTTATCAGTCTTACCAACACTACCATATACCGACACGTATATCATGTGCAACTTAAACTTGTATCAGCTTAATCATCGATCGTTTGTCGTAAGATTACAATTTCATAGATTCTCTTTTAATAGTGTTTGTGCGATTAAGGAGTCGAAGAAGGGGTCCATGCATAGCGATAAATTATTTTAATGGACCGTTGATAATGTCATACAGTCAATTTATTTTGATGTAGAAATTTGCGATGAACTTGCAACAAATTTAATTACGGGATAAATAAGTGATGACGAAAACATGAAATTAGCCTGCATTCGCAATTAGAATGAGAAAAAAAGAGGAAAGAAAGGAAAAGAAAGGACCGACGTTTTCATCGCGATCATCGTATTATAAATTTAAAGGATAATTTATTATCACTTTCAGAGCCGCGGAATCCAAAAGAGCCGCAAAACTTGACGTTATCCGATGCACGACTGGTAGATGGAAAATTGCGTATTAGTCTAAGGTGGATTAAACCAGCTTCAGACGTGCCAATAACGTTCTACAAAGTGTTTTGGAGTCGCCTTGTTCATGGTCCAACTAACGACTCTATTCTCGTTTATCACAGAACAGTTCTCAAAGTAAGTATTCCACCACTTACTTATGCCACATACGAATAACATTGAAGCTTGTTATTAAAGGAAAATATATTTCTCTGATATTTTTGAGATAACGGAAAAGTACAGAAAGGAAAGAAAATTCGAATTTTATCTATTTAACGATAAATAAAAAGCTTTTTATATACAGATATGAGTTTATTATATCTAGTTATAGATATAAATATAGTTTAGATTTGCATTTCTTCGAAATTTATTATACGTCTAAGGCAGCTAACAGTAAGACAACTTCTTTCTACTTATCGATTCTCGATTTAGTAGAAGTTAGTAGAAGTAAGTAGAAGGTAAGCGGAAGTGTATAAAATCGACGTTTTTAATTGCCTCGAAGAATGACTAATTGTAAGATATCAAAATTTCGCGATGCGAACTTTGACAAATCCGAAATCTGCCCTGGTTGAATTTCAGGATAAAACTTGCTACGAACTGAAAAACTTGGAGCTGAAGTGTCAATACTTTCTTCAAGTGCAAGCTGTTGCACTGTACGGTGGCCGGCGATTGTTGTCACGAAAGGCTTCGAAAGTTTTCAATAGCACCGATTACATGACATACGGTAAGATGAAATTCCAGCCCGCTCTTCTTCCATCTGCTAGTGGTATTTCTGTCGAGCCTAATATAATAATTGGGATAACAAACGAAGAAGTGCCCTTTCATTGAAGCCGATATGGGGAGACGATCTCGCAGATGCGAGCGATACCATGGCGATCTTCATTTACGGCGAATGACTTGTCACTGCGGAGAGGTCAAGGTACGTCTCGTTTGGCCGATGAACCACGATGTAAAGGCATACAACGTCTCCTGGAGAGAGGCATCCTGCTCGGCTCCGCAGGAAAAACTCGTATCACGTCGAAAGAAAACTTTCTGGAAAGTTGTTCAGGTATTACATGGATATATATACATACGTACAATTATATACACAGAGTGCAACCGAAATTGTCGTAGAAGCTGTCAGATAGTGGTACCTTATGCAGAAATAGATCTGGGGTGTAGAATGATATTTCTTCATTCGAGGCTTAATTTTCGAGAAAATCAATGTCGAAAATTTATCGTATACATATGCACTTATGTTGCTAAGATATTTCATCGATAAAATAAAGTATCATCGATATAATATTTTCTTGTCTTTTTCTCAATCTAATTCCTTAAAAAGTCGACTACGCGTTGTATATAAAAATAATCATAGTGTCGCTCGAACCAAACTGTAGCTATACATATATGTAAGTGCATACATATGCAACCTTTGATGAACAAATTGGACAAACGAATCGCTTCTTCTCCTCTTATGCAATACTTTTCGCTGCACGTTGTATATATATTTACGCTTATCGTTATCACCAATTTATATTATAATCGGTGCTCGAAATTACCGTGTATAAGCGCCGATGTTGCATGCATACATTTATGCAAATTTTATATCTTCCGCTTAAAATCTTCATTTTCTCTTTATTTCCCTCTGCTTTTTACTTATTCTACTGATTGGATATACAACGTATTGATTGGAGCATAATATATATATATTTTTTCTTTTTATTTATAAATACACACATATTAAATGTTACTAACATTTCTTTAAACCACTCGAAAAATATTTCTTTTCTTAGTTTATGAACTCGTTCCTTCAGTACAAAATGTATCTAAAACTATTACTAAATCGTAACATAGAAACGTTACTCAGTTTTCTCCACACTTTTTGAAGCTGTAATATTGAATTTTTTCAGATCTATAATTACGTCTTCGTTCTATTATTTGATGTTAGTAATATCAATTTACCAATGATATAATACATTCTAAATGTTTAAAAATACTTAAAAGTAGTCGAAAGAGAAATAAAAATTACTACGAAAATATATTTTTATCAAAAGTTTATGTAAAGTATTTCGTTTCATTTGTTCATGTTCCTATATGGAAATGCCAATTTATTAATAATTCTTCGGGTAACTTCGGGTAACAACGCTTGTTGCCACTATTTGTTTGGAATATTTATCTGTTTTAATTTTGAAAAATATCTGTCTAGATTGCATTTATGAAATACCTCTGTGTTATAAATAGACAACTTTTAACATGCATCTTTTGCACATTGATTCTTGTTATAGTTACTGAACTTGAATGGAACTTGGCAAAGTACTAAATCTAACATTCCAATCAACCTTTTTTATTTGTACATATTTCTTCACATATGTCAAATCATAGTTCAAAGTTGCAGTCCGATCTCTGTTGTTTTAAATATAACTCCTTAACGATGCGAGATAGAACGAAGCTTCTCAAATAAAATATGCCAGTGCTCTGTTATCCTACGGTACAAATTTCTTCCTAAAAGATCTCGTTTAAAAAGGAAAAATATTGTTAAAACTTATAACATTGATTATAATCTCTCAACGTCATTCTCGACTAATAACAAAATTACTCCAGGAGTAATTTGTCATGTTTCACGTACATGCATACTTTCATTAAAATCAGAGTTTTTGAGTTGGAGAATTCTTTGGAAACATAGCATCCGAACACTTTCGTGAACCACTGTATGTTATATCTATAAAAGGAATGAATAATATTAAACTGATATTCCAAAAATAGAAATTATTAACATATAAAATATACTAAATATAATAAGTATATTTTCAATAATAATGAAATAACAATAATAATAATAATATAATAACTTATTAAATTATGCGTTACAAATAAATTATAAAATAATGAAAATGTTGGAAATAAATTACAAAATAAATTATTGAAATATTCAGCCGTAACAATTAAACGAATTAATTTTTACTTTTGTACGAGTATCTTTTATAGATATGTATATTTACTTACTTGCTTAATTTTATAAATCTCGAACAAGAATTAAAATACAAACGAAAAAGGTCTCTGATCATACACACTACAGACTTACATATCACTTTTCTCTTTCTATAATTTTCCATCGCATAATTTCACATGTCAAATTCGTTACTTACACATGGTATTTTGTATTTCGATGCAACGAATCATATAGTTAACTAATCAACTGAAAGCTAAATAAGTATGACCTATGAATAAATTCTAAAAATTGGATAAGAATTAATGATTACGATAGTAAATCCTATGTTGTTCATTGTGAAATGAACAGTAAATAAAAAATGAAACTTCTTTGAAATTAATAACTTTTATGGTTCTGTACAATTGTAGAATTCCTTTCTAGCATTTTACATTTTTGTCTTCAATTTTTTGTACGTTAAAATTAAAAATTCCGATTTTGACATTTTTCTATCGAATGCACGAGTAATACGAATTTAAACGTAAATATTAAAGATGATAAAAATTAGTTAAAGGTATCTATTATTTCCCACTTGTAGCTATTTATTTTTCGCACTTACAGTTACTTATATATAGTAGTACTTAAGTAGTTAGTTACTTGTACATAAAATAGTACTTAAATTATCTGCACATGGTTAACGCATCTATGCACGCATCTATGAATATTTGATGGACGGTAAAGTTGCTAACTGGCTTAAGACGATACTAACTATTAGTTGTGGTAAATCGACATCGAAGTATCGATTTAAAATTCTTCCTACAAACTTATAAATAACGCTTATATCGCTTGAAAATTATTTATTATTAAAAATTATTTACGCCCTTGCTACACGAACATTATATTTTCGACATACGAATAAGTTCAGCGATGAATTTATAAAATTGGACATTCGATAGCATAGTTGAAGTAGATTTCTTTTTACTTTCCGTTTCATTAATCGCAATCATTTCTGTAGATACTGTGTCGTATAAATTACGTGCACTTCTATAATTTATAATCCATCATTATATTGCTTCCAGACACCGCATCTCGAAATAAAACATCTTCGAAGCGAATGCACGTACAACGTAAATGTACGAAATATATTCAATGATGTGAATAATGACGAACATGGTACCAGTATAGAGTTTTTTGCTACTGGATGTTTGAAGCAGTCAGAAGAACAAGAAGACGACAAGCATTCGTATAATAAGACGATACAATGCAAAACCAAGTCGTCGAAAAGAAAGCGACACTACGCTAGTTATCTTTGATAAAGTTTCTCTGTTGTAAGCATGTGATCACAAGTATGTTTAGAAGCTACATTCGAGCATCAAAACAAACTTACTGCCTTAAACGCTTCTACTATGTGTTATTAATTAATCACAGACAAACAAATGACAAACAAGGTTTCGGTTCTGTAAGTCTTATGTTGCCCCAAAATAATCGATGTTATCAAATAATATATCAGCGCTACTGAGTTAGCCTTAAATTGTTAATACTCCTTAATGTAACTATTTGTTTCTTCGTTGAATATAAGATTCATTTAAAAAAGTATATAAGCATTCCTTTAAGCTAATAATATAAATGGGATCAAAATATAGATATTTTCTAAAATTCTTTAAAAAAAAAATGTATTTGAAATATGTAAATCTTATTTAACTTACATCGAAATTAAACGAAAGCAAAATTTTTCATTAACATATTCCCTTTTTTAAAATGCTGGAAACGTTAGCGTCAGTTTAACTACTTTACAAATACAATATTACATGGCGATAGTTCCATTTTCTTTCCTATTATACATTTTTTAATGCAATATTACTCTCTATAATTTATAACTACTTTATAGCAATAAAGAAACCAGATCTCAAAAAGTGATATTTCTCTTTATAAATGTGAAATTTATGGTTCGATATTATACAAACTATTGTGTTGTATTGTATTTTTCTTATTCTATAAATCATAGTAATTTCTGTAATAAACATGTAAATCTTAGTTCTACCGTAATAGATTTTTATCTATCAGATATTTTAACCATAAATATATTTACATTCATTATGGGAAATTAATTGCTGTGATTGATGAGTCTATATACTATCTACATTCAACTACATAGAAATATCATTGTATTTACTGTTTACCGTTATAACCTGTTACTCGAGCGCAGAAAATTATACATTATGTGGTTAAAAATAACATTACTAATTTCGTACCTTTTTAATCATATATTTGCATATCAATTAGGCAAATATAAAAACATCTTCCTTAAAATTAGTTTATATGTTTTAATATAATTTCGTTTTGTTTAAAATCGTAATTATTATTAAATTATACGCTGAAAGGTAATGCTTGTTTTTAGTATTAAGTACTACACTTCGTTAATCGAGATACCTAATTAATAACCACTGCTATTAGTATAATGTTTTATCGAATGAAACTTGAACCAAACACGAAGCAATCTTATCATTTAAATACAATAATATAGATAGAGAATAAAAATAAATAAAAATCGAATTACCTTTAGTTTTAGTTCAATCGTATGCAAAATGAAATTTTGATGATCTTTCATTTTCTTTCCTAATGATTTTCCTAATAAAAATAGTTTCAAATGCAAACAGTGGACAATTTTATATTAGCTACTGATAGGATATTAGTTTCACCGGATGCACAATATTTTTATCGTTCACCTAGTTTAATATTTGTGTAAAGAATATTTCGGAATCTTTCTACCATGACGAATGCTTTAGGCTACAACTGTATCTACAACTATTTTATACTTTAACGTTGTCCAAATTGTATTCTCAAGTAAAACAGTCTTTTAACATTATTGCTTTCATTGTGTAGAAAATCAAAGCTTTAGTTATACTTTATTTTTTCTTCTGAAACGAAGAGTATATGATATAATTTTCAAATAATTAAGGAATTAATTATATTTGGTCTTACCTAAGTAGTCATATTAAGTGACTATATTTTAAGTTGTGTAAATACAAAATTGGGAAATATGAGATTATAAATTGCATAAAAAAGAATAAAGGGTAAATTACTTCATAATTATGAAGTAAAGCAGGATAAAGTTCGTAAATAATTACACTGATAATACTGCATTGTACTCAAGTATGACCATTGTGCGTTTTGCGGCAGCTTCGGAAAAGATACCCAAAAACCGATCAACAATTTTGGCTATTTATCCCCAACGGAAGCCTTTTTTATTTACAAGTAAGATTGATGTACAGATGAACGAGTTTTAACACACAACGTCATTTTATATGTCATAATACTTGCAGATATTCTAAGCATATGCTAAAGACTCACAACGGTCGACTGTCATACATCATAAAGACATTGCAGATATATCATTCGTTCGTCTACACTTGGTCATACAATTTAGTATATTTTATTATTATATTAGTTTGTTATGTTAGTGAAACTATTTCTTTGTTCACAATAAAGAAAACTTTAATTGCCAAGTTTTAATCTGGTATCTGTACTATTGGGGTAGTTACAGAGTAAAACGTAATTTTCAATTTATGCTTCATTTTTCTTGTTTTAACGGATACAAAATTATAAAAAGAAATCAGGGATATTGTACAGAATTATAGAAATTTTTAAATGCCGATTTCATGTTCAGATTGTTAAGTGCTCGCGTTTATATTTTTACAGTCTTTGCCCTTTATTATGGTTATTAATATATAATTAATTTATAATTTTTTAAGATTTTTCTACAGTCATAAGCACAGATAAAAAATTAAAAACCAATTTTTTCGTTCAGTACATTTTTATCATTCAATAATTATTATACGTGACTTGAAACATAATTGTTAATTTATATGTCCGATATTAAACGGACAGTTAATTTAAAAACATTTTGTGCAAATTCTCCACTGAGTGCGTGTATACGGGGTTATAATATTACGCACAGAATGTAGTATTTCATTAAAAAAAAAAAAAAAGAAAAATGAAAGTCACCTTCGTCTCTCGAAGGACATTACAAATATAAAAGATTAGAATATCTTATCGTGTTGCTAACGAAATATATTACAACCTTCTCCTCTTCTATTTTCCCTCAACATTTACCGTTTATGAGACGAATGCTAATATCGCGAACATCCTCTATATAATCTTTCTTGAACCAACTTCTTCTTAAGACATTCTTTTTACTAGAAAAGCGATTATCCACTTTGTGTGTGTTAATATACAAAGTAGTCCTATTACTAGTATATGCAAAAATGTCGTTCGTACGATTTGTGTTTATATTGAACCGCCCCTACAGAAGTAATCTCTAATAACACAGAGTCGACATTGGCATTTAACACCACAGTAAAGATATATCGACAGATCACATATACAATCATCATCGCAATTATCATCGCAATGCGATCAAACTGTGAGTTTCATGAACGTTTCGTGAACGTTTATTGAGAAAAAATAAAGAGAATTCTCGCATTGTACGCAATAATACAAAGTTACAATGAAATATCTTGCGAATATGAACTAAAAGAATTAATGTGCAAGTCTAAATAAGTCTAAATAATTTTGTCTGTTTGGGGTCTTATGGGCCAAAACGCAATGGTAGTAATAATAAAGTAAATGAAAGTCGCAATGCGGAAAACATAAATTAGTCGTGACATAAAAGATATTGTGGAATTTTTAAGTTCTCGTTAAAAAATAAAATAGACTAGGAGACTGAACAGATAGTATAACAATATGAAACTCTGTATACACACGCCAATAGAACTATATTTATAATGAAAAAGGTGTTGAAACTGTTACAGGTTTTGTCGCATAACTAAATTCTCCCGCAGCCAACCGACAGGCAAAAACAAGACAACTACCCAACTCTAACCAAATCCGCCTATCTCCATTGAGAAAGGGGAAATCCATCGTCGCATCGTCAGTTTTGTGTAAACTACCGTACATATGCAGGAACGATGAAAGGCAAATGGCTGTGAAGCTCATTCAAACAGGCTTCTCTAAATTACAGAATAATAAAAACTGTAATAAGCTCCTCTTCTCTCAACAAAGTACCCACAAGGAATCAATAATTGCACCGTTTAGCGATAATACCAACCCCTTAGCAATTACATCGCGAAAACTGTTAGAACATTACAAATTAGACATTCTCAGGAATAAATAAAATGACTGAAAATCTACAAATCCTTCTGCAAAGCTGTTTCGTCGTCTCTATAAAGAAAACGGAGCTGGAAGCTACATCCCAAGAACAAGACGTAACTTGTTTCGTCAAAAATTTAATTTCATTCATTTTCCAGCATCTACCTTGACTGAAATAGTAAAAATCCGAAGCGATGTGGGTTAAGATTGCTACAGAATCTGAAACACTGTCCGGTACTAAATATAAGAAAGTTTCACGAGTGAACACGCAAGGACGACTGATTCTAGCCAATGACACCTCTTATCCAGAATGGAGTTATAAAAAGGAGGACCCTTCGAGCCTTAATTTTCGCAACATTATAGTAAGTAACTGTTTCTTTGTTCATAGTAATGATTCCTGCACACATATAGGTCGACTAAATCATACACGTAATAACTTAGTAAGTAATAAATCGAACCTAGTAACATTGCCGATGGACATTTCAATAGCTTGAAGATACGGTCTGATAACGACCCTATAGCATTTAATGTAAAAATCAACATACAATCCAAGTCAAGAACATCCAGCAAAATCTCTCCAATAACAGAACGGAGTGGATGAAATATAGAGAAATTTCTGATTTGAACAAGAAATTCTTCATGTCACATGATTTTCATATTCAATCTTCAATATGATAAAATCTTTATATTTAACGAGTGTCTTTTCTTTTTTTCTTTTTCTTTTTTTTTTTTGTTTTCTTAGTTAATCGTAAGTGTGAAATGTTTAAATAACCTAACAATTTGATTTTTCGACGTGTCGCCGTCGTGTGTTTCATAGATGTGGTAACTTTCCAAGGACAACCGTTGGGTATGAGATCACCATCGATCTAGGTGTTCCCCCTGATACCTGGTGACGCGTCAGTGGATCTGGTTAACAACGTAAGAACGTCACGCTAACTAGAGAGATGATATAAAGGAACTACCGTTTGAGCGATTTTGGCTATCCGCGTGGCTATAGCGCCTCGCTGTAAGTATCGTAATCCGAGTGTCAAGCTGTGTGACTGCGTGTATAAGTATATCGTGTATAGGTGAAAAATCTTTGAGTAAGATATCTTACTTGCGTAAAATTGATTTCACATTATCTGTATCATATAATGTTCCAGCAATACTCAACTAAATTTAACCAAGTTCGGGAGTCAACGATTGAATTATTCCGATAAAGGCAGCCTGTTTTTTTAGGAATTGATTCAAACTACTGGGATTAAGAGTAAAAAGAAATAACTATTTGTATTTTATAATTATCTTTATTCTATCCCAAGGAAGGTATATCTCAAGTATTCTGACTG